ATATTCACCTGTTACGTCTCTGTCGTTTGTTAATTTCCGTTATCAATTCTTCCCTAGGAACTTCAGCGATACCAGTTCTTTCTTAATTAAAACTAGTTTATTCTTTCTCAATACAACTTTGCAATACATAGAATTTCCACAGTCATTTTAACTTAAACACATGCTATAATTCACAACGATTCACGCACTTTACTTACGGTCACTACCATTCGCTTGACTCAATTATCTATCTCTATATCTGTCTATCTGCTATCTTATCTCCGCTTTATTTGCCGGGCTTATATACAAAAAGAGGGCGTCTAGAAAAACTCGAGTTGCCAGGAAAAGTTTAGATCCTTCGAAAATCTCATGACGTGTTATCAGTGTCACCTGACTCCCGCTGTCGTAACACACCATTATTCCTTAAAATTAAAATTAGCATGTGTCATATTTTAGTATACCTAGAGTTAGATAGCGTAAACTAAGAACCAATGTGCTAATGAAAACTTTTCTTTATTTTGTTCACAACGTTTCACCAGGCTTACCTAACATAATGTAACAGAAATTAATTAAACAAAATCACGTGAGAATCTGTGATAATACTTATCTACAAGCATGTGATTGACATTAAAGTATAATTTACATTTTTACTGAAAAAAAGACGTGATCAACTGCTATCCAATATGTATATGGACAATGATATTTCAGGAAATATGTATGCAACAGAATGTACAGATTGCAAAAGCTGTTATGCTAAGAAGACAAACAAATAGCTTTCTACTCGTTTGCGCGAATATTTAAAATCTCCTTCTGATGTGTTTGAAGACACGTCTAGAAACAACCATTCTTTTGATTCTTCTAAAGTAAAAGTCCTCAACAGATAAGAAAAAATTAATAGACGAAAAATAAAAGAAGTTGTAATAATAATAATAAAACCTATTCTTAACAAATACAGAGGTGTTCATTTATATATATTAATAGCTCCCTTCTCTCTTGTATCTAGAACGAATTTCAATACTTAGACTCAGGCCTAAAAGTTTTATTATGTGCAACCATTAAAAAAATTGTGTGAATTTTGAAAAAACAACAACAAAAAATTGTTTTTCGGAGTTAAAGTAAAAGGCTTTTAAAAAGCGTACATACTGTTACGACAGCGGAAGTCACGTGACGCTGGTAACACGTAATGAGTATCTCGAAAGTTCCTGAAGGCTCGAGTATTTGCTAGACACTCGCTCTTATAGTATATAAGTGACGGGATAGATAATTGCAGACAGACAGAGATGAACAATTGAGTCAAGCGCTGCAGTGACCATAAGTAAAGTGCGTGAATCGTTGTGAATTATAGCGCGTGTTCAAGTTAAAGTGACTGTGGAAATTAAGTGTATTGCAAAGTTGTATTG